GGCTCAGGGCACCTCTTTGACCAGCGGGGTTGAGAGCTGGTTCACAGATGCCGTCCTCTGGGACTCCCATGGACAAAGCAGACATGTGCTCAGAGACGCTGAGCCCCGCTGCCCTTGCTGGTAGCCTGCTCCTCAATGCCTGCATGGCTCGCTTGTGCTCCACTCCTGTGCCCTTAGGCCGCATCCCAAAATAAACAATCCAGGCTCTGCTTTGGGAAAAAAACAAGCTAATTCCTGCCCCAACCGGTGGCGGCTGAGACCTGCAGAGCAAAGGCAGGAGACAGTCCAGAAGGTACCCAGGAGAGCAGCAGTCCTTGCCCAGGGCCCCCCGCAGCAGGGCAGGGCGGTTCCGAGAACAAAGCACATCTTGTCCAAGGACACACAGGAAAGGCCCTCTGTGAGCTGTTGGGAGCAAGAGAGTCAGAGACTTTTGTTTTTAATCATTTTATTAGGGTCTCATACAACTCTTATCAAACTCCATACATACATCAATTCCGTAAAGCACATGTGTACATGCATTGCCCTCATCCTTCTCAGAGCCTTCTTTAGCACGTGGAGGACACGAGATCGTTGTAAGGGACATGTGATGCCCACCAAGGTAAGCATGTGAGGAGAGGTGCCCCTTGGAGCTGAGGGGCCAGTTCGCCGAGCTGGTGAACAGCATCTCCTGGCGCAGTCATGAGCTCCCCGTCCTGGGGCATTCTTGTTCACAGTGGGAAGAACAGTTCCCCCAAAACCTCACGGCCGTCAAGTTCATTCCGAATCACGGCACCCTATAAGGCAGCCTAGAACTGCCCTTGTGGTTCGATGCCCACTGCGTGACCCAGCATCCGAGCTCCTGACCGGGATTTGTATTGCAGATAAAAGCTTTGCTTTTTGTTTTGCTTTGCTTTGTCTTCAGGGATCCCCTTTAAAAGTCACCACATTTCAACTGATGGTGTTAGCAATCGTATAAGACTGCGTGATGGGATTGAACGATGGCATGGTACGCTCTCTGTAGCAGCTGTCAATAAAATGTTTTTTTGGGGAAAAAAGACAGTTTCTTCAAATGAGATTTCAGTAGTGTGGATCTGCCTCAAAACAGGATACCGGGTGATCTGTGGCCTTATAAACTCCCTCACTCCAAACTATGCAACTGGTTTGAATTTTAGGCCTCAAGCTCGCCAGACAGCTGATTTTTCATTAGGTCTTGGCACCACCTAGTGGATCTCTCGTCCATTGCAAAGCGGGCCTGGGCCAAGATGGTCCTGCTGTTTCCTGACTGGCGCTATGGTTGCCTAGTGCTTTTCACATGGCCCTGCTAACTGAAAGATCAGCCATTTGAAACTACCAGCTGCTCCACGGGAGAAAGATGAGGCTCTCTACTCCCATAAAGATGCATCGCCCTGAAAACACACAGGAACAGTTGCACTCCATGGCAGCGAGCTTGGTTTGCACTTGGGGACCTTGCGAATGACGTGTTGGTCATTGCTCTAAGGGCAACGGATGAAGCTACCTACTCCCGTGAAGACTGACCCTCCAGAACCCAACAGGGTTCTTCTCTGTCCTCTAAGGTCAGTATGAGTTATCATGGACTTGATGGCAGTGAATTTGATTTGTTTCATTGTCTTTGACAATGTCCTACATTCAGCGAGCTACAGACATTTTTCGACACCTGACAGACACAAATTATGGGCTCATTTGTGCCAGAAAGAGCACACTGTGATCCCGAGGATCAAGCGATAGTTGAGAAAGAACTGGTCTTACCTTTGGGAGGAGGCTCAGAGTCTAAATGGAGCCGAGCATAAAGACTGGATCTCTGTCCATTTCAATGCCATTTGGAAAGGAACCCATTGTGTGAGCGAGGCTAAGGTAGGCAGGAGGAGGGGAACTCAAGCGGGGCAGGAAGGGGGACCCTCCTCCAGTCAGACTCAAACCAGCTTGGAAGGATGGGCCAGAAGAGGACTGCCCTACAGAGAGCATACAGAGGGACCAACGCACACAGAGGGACCAAAGCAGTCACACAAAACCTCACCGACATCGGCCAATTCTGACTCAGGGCGGGTTGATAGGGTCGTTCTCCTGCAGAAGCTGGTGGTTTTGAACTGCTGACCTTGAGGTAACAGCCCAACGCCTAACCACTATGCTATCTTGACTCCCCAACACAGCACAAGCAAAGCTGCACAGGCATAAAGGAAGTGGCCGTGCAAGGAACCAAAAGCCTGGTGTGTTCAGAACACACATGGGGTTGGAGGCTGTGGACCGTGGAAACCATCTCCTTAAGGGTAAGCACATGGGGTATTGGGGAGGCTCCTTCCAGAATGGTGCCAGCTCTCAAGACAAGTATCATTACGTGAACTTGGTCATTTCCCCAGACCCAGCTGGACCCTGGCCAGGGTCCCCGAGACAGGTAAGTTTCTGTATCCAGGGCTGGTTGCCTTGGAACCTAAAAGCCTTCAAGAGTGGTTCTCAGCCTAGACTGCAAGTCACCTGGGGAACTCTTGCGAATCCCGAGACCCAAGCCACACACCTTGGACGACAGGTTCCCAAACAGATTTGGTCTACCGCCTCCTTTTGGGGGAAAAAATATTTACTCAGTGCCCTGACCCCCACCCCATGGCAATTTAAAACATTTGTCCTATAGCCCCTAAGCCAGGATAAAGTGTGGGTATCTGCTTTTGGAGCCCCCCACGCACCCTAACCATACCAGTAAGCCCACATTGGGAAACGCCATGCTAATCACAGAAGTCAGCATCCGTGTGCAGCCACGGTTGTTAAGCCCGTCGACTGGAAACATTCTCACGAGGCAGGGAAAGGCTGGCCTCCTCCTCAGCTCAGGGTGGTGAAAGTTACCCTGACCAGGCCTGGTCCCCACGGGGAAGGGCCATTGGGATGCTTTCACTGCCTACAGATGCTCCCAGACAGCAGACCCCTATGGACTGGCATCCCAGATCATTTCAGGTTGGTAGACCTGCTAAAGGTATTCATAGGAGGAAGTTCCCACCACCTCTCTGCCCCTCATCCCCAGCCTGCAGAGCGTGACCTACAACGGCCCCTGGGGACCTCTGAGGGAGGGCTGCTGCTTGGGCCCCTCCCCAGAGACTGAACTGTGCGGTGAAGGCTGTCATTCCGTTGTGCAGGCAGGATGACAGACCACGGTTGTTAAAAGACGCCATCCCTGGGGCGGGGGGTTTGTTCTGAGGCCTGGGGTGACTGAGATTGCTGGGTAACTGGGGTTGATCCTCCAAGTGACCCGTGAGCGCCATTGTCTATGATCTGCTAAGCCACCCGGTGCTTATGTGGACTCGCAGGGCCGGGCAGCGACCTGTCCTGAGGGAGCTGACCCAATGACAACCACTGCCTGGTCCTGGGTCAGAGACCACGTCATGACAGTGCCACCTCACATGGGTGGGTTGGACCCCCTGGCTGGGGAGAAAGATCTACCGGTGGCAGCCCAGACAGTGATGCTGGGCCAGTCCTCCCACCTTCCTGTGTCCTGCTTGCAAGGAAAGGATTCCACGTGGCTCACGCCCATGACTGCATAAGGAACTGCCAGCAGGGATGCTAGGTGACACGTGCATTGCCTAGGTTTTCCCAGAAATGGCCACTGGGGCGGTTTTTCTTCAAAGGAACCACGCGCTCACACATCGTAAAGCCTGGGACCTGTGCCGGGAAAGGCACAATGGTTACATCTGGTGGTAGAACTCTTTCGGCGAGGGTCAAGTCAGCAGAAGAGGCCCTGGGTGCGCCATCCTCGGGATGGGCTGTGAGTCAGTAGATCACTGGGCCCTTCTTGTTGGTCTGCTGTAGACTGGAAGCTCCACGGAGACCTGGTTACCATCCCAGCAGCATGGCCGCCTCCACTGACCTGTGTGGTGGCTGCACATGAAGGGCATTGGCCTGGAACCCAAGTTGGGTGCCATACATGGAAGAGTTCTACCCCCAGTCCCTGTGAAAAAGGTCATCTGTGAAGTGGCCTATCTTGCCTGCAGATACTTGTGGAGCCTGTAAAAGATACACTGTAAAAGATACACTGACTAGTTCAGCAGGGACTGCTGATAGAACAAACAGATCTTTTTGAAGTCCGGCCAGAGCAAGACAGCCTCACGCACTTTGCACGCACGTCAGGAGAAACCAGGCCTTGGAAAAGGACATCGCGCCTGGCTGAGCAGAGGAGCAGTGAGAGGAGGAAGACCCCGACGAGATAGACTGACGCAGGGGCTGCACCAATGGGCTCAAACCAAAGCACTGCTGTGAGGATGTGGACTGGGGGCGTTTCCGCCTGCTGCAGGCCTGTTTCTGGTCGTTAAGAGTCAGGACCAACAGGACGGCACCTAGCAACAACAGAATCACGGACTGGTCAACACCAAGGCGGACAAGTGGTCACCGAGGCCTGCGGCCCCCATTCTAAGTCTAGACCAACACTTGGATCACAAGCTGAGCTTGCCTGAAAGGAGGCAGTGATACATTCCCCAAGCTTCCCTGCTTTTAAGGGCTCATGTATCTAACGTGCTGGTCACGGCTCAGAAGGGAACACAGCTGTCCGAGGGCCCGGGTTCCGTGCAGAGACCGTGTGCTTAGTTTTATTGTTCTCTCCTGCAATGATTCGATAAACCACCGCTGCATTCAGTCACACAACTACCAGGCTTTCCAAACAGTCTCAACAGGGGTTTGATACTGGTTTTTAAACAGCTGGTGTTGGGTGGCAGGAAGTTGGTTCCGACCCATAGCGACCCCTCTGTGCACAACAGGACAAAGCACTGCTCGGTCCCACGCCATCCTCACGATCGTCCCACCGCCACCCAGCCGCGGGTCCATCTGTCGCCTGGAGGGTCCTCCTCTTTCTCACTGCCCTCTATCCACGCACGACTGGTCTCTGGAGAATTACAAAGCCCCAAAGAGCAGGGCATACAGGCTTTGCGCTCAAGGGGCCAGAGAATCATGTTAAGTGCTGAAGCAAAGGCAGACAAAGATGGGCATCGATGAGCTGCTCCGAAGGATGGACGCACTCTATCCATGCGCATCACACATCCGTTTTATTCCCCCTTCCGAGGAGTATCACGGGAGATTTTGCAACAGGAGGCGGTGAAGGCAAAGCTAGCCACCTGGGGGCCCGGCGAGGATCTTGGGCCACAGTCACACTTCGATGGCAAGCCTCCCGAATCGGTACTGCAGGGAGGCTGGGGGCCGCAGGAGCACCAGGCCCTTCTCACCGGCACCCTGCCGGGACAGCATATCCAGCAAGCCCGTCAAGCTCACAAAGCCCAGGGCTTCTCCGCAGCCCACCGCCATGGAGAAGTCCCCCTGTGTGACAAAGCCCAGGAGGGGCCTGGAACAGTGGGAAGCTATGGGCGGGAGGGGGCCGGACCACAGGCCCCGTGTTACCGCCTCGTGCCCGGGCGCGGGGCCCTCTGCTGCTGGGCCCTCAAGGACGGCGCCCCGGTGCCTCTGCCTCTTCGCCAGCTTCTCCCTCTGCTTCTGCTTCAGGAGCCTACTCTTGAACGGGTCGCTGTGCTTGCGCTCCTGGGGCCCTCGGTAGAGCTGGTCCCGGCTGAGGCACAGGAGATCCTCCTGGGCCGGGACGCAGATCATGGTGTGGGGCTCTGGGCTGCCCTTGCGAAGCAGGGTCAGGCTGACCCACACCAGGGCCCGGGGGCGTGGGCCCAGGATGGACAGACAGGCTTCTCGGGTCAGGTCCTGCTGGCCCCTGCCAGGAGCTCGCCGAGCTGTCCGGCTGCCCCCAGAACTGGGCCTGCACCAGGCCGACAGCTGCTTCAGTAATTTCCTCTCCCTAGATAAGTGGAAGACAAGTATTGGAGATTGTGTGCAGAGAGAGAGAGAGAGAGAGACAATTAGATTATGAGGCATGGCTAGAGGTCATTAAAATATATCTATACACATACACATGCACTGCGTGGGAATGTATCAAAAGCTCTGGTTTTCGACAAATTAAACATAGCACGTGAATACATCTTTGACATGAACCCTGGTGACATGGAGGGTTATATGCTGGGCTGCTACTCTCAGGTCAACAGTTCAAAACCACCAACCACTCTGAGAGAAAAGAGCCTCTGCTCCCATCAAGAACCCCACCAGGGCAGTTCCACCCTTCACTGCGGGGTCACTGTGACTCCGGATCGCCGCCGGGTCAGGGGGCGGTATTCCGAAACGGAGCAACTAATGGCTTAAGATGCAGCAGGCAGCACAAAATACAAGGCTGGGCTTAGCACCCAGGCCTGGAACACAAGGAGAGATGGGCCTGAAGGGGCCCTGCTGTTCCCAGGAGCAGAGACACTCCCAAGGGACAGTTCTATGTCAAGTGCCAGGGAGAATGAATATGAAACTGTGAAGATGCTCAAGAGAAATAAGGAAGAGACAAGGGCGACAAGCACTTTATATTAGAAAAAGAAAGAAAAGAACCGAGCAGATGCGTAGAATAATTTAATAAGCCAAAGAGCCTGCGGCGGTACTGAGAGTGGAGTCCGCTCTCTCACACGGTAGCTGGCTGACAGCATTCCTCAGGGCAGACTGCTGATCTACCCCGAAGTCGGAGCGTTCACAAGGAGCCCGCAGAAACCTGCTCCGGGCTTTCAAGGCAAGGGAGGCCAGCTCGCCGTCTGTGGCGGTGCTTCCCCACCTCAGGCCACACCTAGACTGTGCCCAAAGACCCAGCCAGATGGCCACAGCCTGCCTGGGAGAACAAAAAGGCTGGCGTGGCTCAGGACTGCCGGTTACCAAGATTTGTCATCATTTCAGTAGGCCGTATCCTGGCCCCAAGCAAAGCTCCTTGTCCAACTCCTTCTCTAGGGCCTCTAGGGAACACTACAGAACCGGCTTCTCTTTCCAGAAGTCCAGGTGTCCCCTTGAGCTTTGCAGTGGGGAACATCCTCTACCGTGTTACCAGAACCACCCCAACACACGCCGCTTACCTGACAACGCAGAGGCTGCCCCCCGCGGCAGCAACATCCTGGGCATTCACTGGCTCGGGGCCCGCCTGGCCCGGACACTCTGCGTCCATCGCGTCCCCTGGCTCCCCCAGTTCCCTTACAGAGAGTGGAAGGATGTCCTCAGGGGTGGCAGCCCAAGGCTTCTCATCTCCCCTGGGGGCGCTCTCCTCGCCATCGGGAGATGGGGTTCCGGAAGATTCGTCTTGGGCCAAAACTCTCGATTCCCAATCTTGAGTCAGCTGCACCCAGGGGCAGTGGAAAGGGGACAAAGTGCCGAGCTTTACGTAGTTGGGCCGTTTTGCAGGAGGGCGTCTAATGCAAACACAAAGGTGAGAACCACAATTTTGAAGCGTTGAGGGTCAGACGATGGAAAGTAGTGCCACGCCCGACTTCAGGGTCAATGATTGCCTCTCGGGCCGGGCCGGATCCCTCCTCACATTTACAAGGTTGAAAAGGCAAAAGGCCCAGGTGATCACTAACAACATCTTTGATGTCCTTCCTTGGAGGTATCCCCTGCCATTCCATCACTGCTGACACGTGGCAGCCCTATAGGACAGAGTGGAGCTGCCCCAGTGGGTTTCTGAGACTGGAACACTGTGAGATTAGAAAGCCTCAGCTTTCCCCCAAAGAACTGCTGGTGGGCTTGAACTACTGACCTTGTGGTCAGCAGGCTCATCCATGCCCCGCTACACCACCATGTAAACCTTTATTGCCCCTTTTTTATACCAATGTTAGCATACCACATACAGTATTTTATTAACCTGTTTTTCCACTGAATACAATAGTGGAGCGGTCACATTAGCAGGTCAAAGGCATCTCCGTGCTCCTGGGTCTCTCATCCCACCATGGTTACGTGCTGATTTGTTCAACAGCTCTCTGCGGAAGGGCGTTGGCAAGCTTCAAACTTCTGCCCCCACAGACAACGAATGCTGCACCGGACACCCCTGAACTGCTCACAGTGCACAGGTAAACCCAGAGGACCAAGGCTGGGGTCGGTTTGTTCCAGCAACGAGCCCTGGCCTCATTGGTATAATGGTCACAGCCACACCCCCTGAAGCAGGTTCCTAACAAACGGAGGCCCCACAGGATGATGAACAGCACAGCAAGGATAAGCAGTGCAGCCTCACTGCCCGCTCCATCCACAGAGCTACTGAACACCAGGGTGTGAAGATGCTGATCATATGGCAATCAGAAGAGACTGTCACAGCAGAAGCACAAAGGGAAAAAATAAATGGTGGCAAAGTGCATCCAGGAGGGCAAAGTGACAAAAAATTCTGAAGAGCAATTTTCTAATAGTCCACCAAGTCTTAAAATGTTTCTCTTTTTGAGCCAGTCAGGGTGCAGTGTAACACTGATGAAACATACAACTTTCTTCTAGTTTTTAAATGCTTCCTCCCCACCCAGTATCATGATCCCAATTCTACCTTACAAATCCAGCTAGACCAGAGGATGTACACTGGTACAGATAGGAACTGGAAACACAGGGAACCCAGGATGGATGATCCCTTCAGGACCAGTGGTGAGAGTGGTGATACTGGGAGGGTGGAGGGAAGGTGGGTTTGGGGTAGAAAGGGGGAACTGATTCTAAGAATCTATATATAACCTCCTTCCTGGGGGACAGACAACAGAAAAATGGGTGAAGGGAGACGTCGGACAGTGTAAGATATGACAAATTATAAAGCATCAAGGGTGCATGAGGGAGGGGGGAACAGGGAGGGAGAAGAAAACAATGAGAAGCTGATACCAAAGGCTCAAGTGGAAAGCACAATGTTTTGAGAGTGATGATGGCAACAAATGTACAAATGTGCTTGACATACAATGTATGTATGTAATGGATTGTGATTAAGAGTTGTACGAGCCCCCAATAAAATGATCTCTTAAATAAATAAATAATTTTAAATGTTTCTCTTTTAAAAAAAATCGTCAAAAAGTTCCCTTGCAGGGACGTAGCCTCAGAGGGTCCTGAGCTCTGGCCCTTACCCGGTACGGGCTGTGATAGCTCCTTCTTTTCCACACCCCATTGGCCTTGGGTGAAGATGCCCCTGTTCCTCACTGAGGCTCCCACCACCTTCTCCACGGCCCCAGCTCCCTGAAGCACAAGTCAACAGGCGGCCACTGGCTCTGGCTCTTCAAGACACCATCAGCTCCCCGGCACTCCCCTGTCCTGCGTGCCGCGTCCCCACCTCCCGCCATCCGTCTCAGTGGCTTCAGCACCCGCACAGACGATCCTTTTAACGCCCTGGCCCTTCTAGCCCTCCCTGGACATCCTCGCTTCAAACCTGTTCATTCTCCAAGCCCGGCAGCCAATGTGAGTAGGAACTTCCTCTCTTCCCCCAAAGAAGCCCATCGATGTCCTTCTTACCTTTTGTACTTTTCCAGAAGGTTCTTGGCTTGCTCTTGGGCAAAGAGAATCCCAGCAGGGCAGTCAGGGAAGTCACCCGGGATGCTGGGTGACCTTTTGTACTGACAATGGACTAAGCCTTCTTTTAAGCCGCCCACTCTGGCACCTCGGTAGATCTGAGAGAGAGAACAAAAAGATACGATCGTCCGTGCACCTCCTGAGAGGACAGCTGCCTCCATGGCTTTCAGGAAGAGACTGGCTGAAAACCCTCGGAGGTAAGCCTACAAGGAGGTCTCACAGACAGGAAAGCGAATGAATCGGCAACCCGGAGCCCGGCAGGGCTGAGTGAGCACAGTGATGTCAGCAGAGAAACATCAAGTTCACAAATATGCCCAACTCCATTACTTGACGTCTGGATACAGACGAAATGAAAACTAAGAATGGAGGTGACAAACCAAAATCAGGCTAGCGATGGTTTTAGAAAGAGGGAGGGGAGGGCTGGGGTTGAGGGCCCACCCTGAGTGCTTCAGGTGACTCCCTAACACTCCCATCTCAAGCACTTTGAAGGCGGCCCAAGTCTTCCTCTGGTTACTTTCTATGGCTTTCGGGGGTTTGAGAAGGATGTCAGAAATTATTTTTTAATCAACTGGAATTATTTTTAAGTAGCTCTACTCCTAAATAATGAAATGAATTTGTCTTGCATTTTCTACCACTTCTCAAGTTCACCTGAGTGAATCACACGTTTCTCACAGGCCTGTTGTCACCTATAGCCATCAGAGTAACCAGGAAAAAAAGATCCTATTTCATTTTAATAAAACATTTTGTTATGGCAGACAAACTAGGAGCAGGTGGTCAGGGATTTTGTTTTTGTTTTGTTTTTTAACAGAATGATAGTCTCTACATCTTTTTAAGTCTTGTTTTTAAAATCCTAAGAAATTTCTTCAAGCAAAAAAGTCACCATGCCGTTACTTCTATCTCTCAACTGTCAACGGCCACTTTAAACACGTCCAATGGGCGCATCTGTGTCAGCGCATCTCTTACGAATAAGAAGCTGGTTCTGAGCAGCAGGCATATGAAGTACCTCATGCCCAGAGTTAGGCTCTTTGGGCAGGTCAGCGCCTCGCGATTTCTAAAGTGGGCACAGGTCTGAGCATTGCACAGCACTTAGGAATCATTAGGAATGCATTTTACATGTTGCAAGTAGGAGTCAGAATTTGGAAGAAAAAAAAATCAACTTACAAACGGAATCCAGAACGCCATGCCCCAGCCCTTGGGAAGCAGGACATCCCAGCCGCTGCCCCAGCCCCGGCGGTCTTCACCAGTCACCTTCCCTGGCTGCTGGATCAGAAGTACGGGGATCTTGGACTCCTGGGGACCTAACACAAGCTGGGACCCAGGCACCAGCAATTCACTTCTCATCCGGTTTAAATCCTACAGTGGAAGAAAAGAATTCAAGACAAACCACCCTAGTCTTCTGCGAGATGCTAGTGGGTCTCCCCCAATAGCAGTTTTAATGAGGCAGTTTAAAATGCTGACTACCCTTCTAAAGGCTGGGGTGGGGTGGGGGGTGGGAGGGTATAAGGAGAAGCCTTCACAGCACATCAATGTCAAGTCACTTTAAGCACCAGGCACCCCTTCTGGGATCTAGCGTTCCCTCTCTAAAAGGGCCACATCTGTTAAAAAACAGCTACATTTGGGCTAGATGATTCGAAGTTATAAAACAATATGCATTCATCCTGCTAATCTCTCCTATCAAGGTTGGTCTTCTGTTTTTGTTTGGGTTTTTGATAGTGTCGCTACATTTAAAATTTGTGAAATCTTAAGTAAAAAGATATAAAAGATGCGGTAAAAATGGCTCCCGGAGTGACAAATGGGAAAAGAGGTGGCTCTTGAGAATTTGTTACCACCGCCTAAGGATTTGAGAGAGAAGACTCTAGAACAGTGGTTCTCAACCTTCCTAAGGCCGCGACCCTTTAATACACTTCCTCATGATGTGGTGACTACCCTCCCCCCAACCATAAAATTATTTTCGTTGCTACTTCATAACTGTTAATTTGGGTACTGTGAAAGGATTGCTTGACTTCCAAAGAGGTAGCAACCCACACGTGGAGAACCACTGCTCTAGGAGTTAAGTGGAAGGCAGGGAGATTTCTCTTGTCTCCATGTGGAAAGTCTAACCGTTGCTTCATCCACGGTTCTCCAGGCCATGGCCAAGTCCAAATTCTTTTCTTTTTAACCAACTACTAGCTGCATGCTGGTGACTCCGAAGTGTGCATCCCTTCATTGCTGAACAGACACTTGTCTCCCAGACACCTGGTCTCGGCAAGTCTTATGTTAGAGGGGTTAGCTGATGAGGAATTGGTTGACTCCGGGCGACTGGGTACGACAGAACAAAACGCTGCCTGGCCCGGCGCCACCTTCAGGACGGAGTCTATCACTGCAGCTGGTGTGCACTGGAGTGCCTTCCTACGCAGGGGACTCCTTCAAGCAGGACCCGGCAACAATATGCTGGTGTGCTCTGCAGGGCTGATCCTTTTCTTCCTGTTCTTAGGCTGCAAACTCTGTTGTAACCTCTCCACTGTGGGGGCCTCCACTGGTACTGGAAACACAGGTGGCCTATCTTCCAGCATCAGAGCATGTTGGCTACCACAGGAGGACAAGTTGACGGACAGGTGGTCAAGTCCCTTCAGCCCCTCACAGGTATCCCAGATTGAATGCACCATCTCCTCCAACGTTCCTCACTGGTCGAGCGATGCCCTGACTCACAAGGTTCACCCGTTCACTCACAGTTACCGAGACCACCCTCCAGTGCCAGGCACATGGCTGGAATCCGGAGCATGTCGACGGGGCCTGGCTCTTTCTGCTGATCCCCTAAGTCCCTAGCTGGAATATTAGAACCCGGCCTACAGTTTCCCCCATTCTTCCCACTCATCTTCCGACCAGTTACCAAGTTTGTCAACTGTGCCTTCCAGAAATACCCATTAAGCCTACCCCGTCATCCGAGCCCCTCCCCGAGGTCACCCTTCTCGGCCCCGTCACGTCTGACCTGGGCTCTTGAGGTCACCCAACTGCAGTCTTTGCTCCGGCTCCCATGTCCCCATCTCATGCCCAGTCAGGTGGATTCTCGACACTCACCAATCCAAATCCTGGAAACAGCTCCAGGTGCTTTATAATTGGCCCACCTGCCCTCCAGTTTCACTTCCTGTCCCATGCGCAATTCTAAGCTACAGAATGGCTTGGAAGTTTGTGAGCATGTCGTCTTTTTCCAGCCTGGACACCTGGGCATGCTGTCCCCACTCCCTGTGTTCCTTTCTCTACACAGCCGTGGCCCTGCCCTGGAGTGGCCTGGTTAATCCTCGCAGCCCTTCTGAGAGTCTGCTCCCATGCCAGCCCTTCCCCATAAAAGGCCTCCCCCAGTTTCCCTCAGCCGGGCTCGGCACCCTTCTCAGCTCGGACACCACTGACTACGTTCAATCCATCGACCCCATCCCCTGCTGCATAGTCTGCTCCTTGACAGGTGTTCAAAACAAGGAGCTAAAGAAGATGGAGAGGAATTAAAGGGCGCGTGGGATCAAAGAAAAACTTGTTCGAGAAATGGTCTACCCTAAAAGCATGGGAGGGGGCGGTGGGGGAGGGGACATTGCCTGTGTCCTAAACAAGGGATCAGTAAATTGCTTAAAAGGAAGCCCACGGATACCTCTTAAGAGTCTCTAGAATTCCAACCTGTCTTTCGCGACCTTACCAAACCGCCTACACCATTAGTTACCTGGTCCGAGATTTTAGTGTCTGTGACACTCTTACAGATAGCTTGGTCCCACACAAAGCTGTGCGCACACTCCGCGGGCACACCCTCCAGCAGCAGCTGTCTAACTCTCTCATTATCTAAGAGGGAAAAGAAACAGCCTTCAAACCACATCCTTCACAGCAACGGCGTCAGCTCACGGTGGCCAGTGGCCCTTTTGGGCCAGGACATATTCTGTAGGCATGCAGTCAACTTCTCTGCCAGGAGACACCTGG